GATTTTCAGTACAAATCGGCAATTTCATACTTTAACCCCTATTATTATAAATGTGAAAGAAACTTTATTACGTTTTCACACCTAAAAGGCTGAACCAATTTTGTTGAATTTTGGTGTAGACATAGATGGGACCTAGATGATATATACAGGCTACTTTTTGTCACAATATTCTCAGTGCAGACTATTACATGTATTTGCTAATATTGAAATCGGTTACCAGAAATTGCGCGAAAACGGATTCATCCCCTAGTTTGTCACCCTTAAAGGTGGAATATTTCCTTCAAATTTAAATGTGACCACTACTGAGGTACCCTTTCCAACAAAAAAGAATTATCCAAATCGTCTCACAAGTGCTGGAGTTATCGCGTATCGTACAAACAAAAAAAAACCTATAGACGAATTGAGAACCTCCTCCTTTTTTTGAAGTCCGTTATTTTATTTTATTTTAAAGGTACACAAATAGAATGTAATCATCACATAGTAACAGATACAGTTTGATACATTAATAGCCTAGACCACATTCCAAAAACACTACAATCTCCAAATCCAAGACGAAGAAATTAATAAAGAAAAAGAAATTAATAAGTAAATTTACAGTGATTTGTGCAAATAGTTAAAAATAATAGTAATAATAATATAACAGAACCCAAAATGATCAAAAGCTAAAACTCAAGCGATGTAATTGCGTCTTGTATGAATTAATAATCGAATTAAAAATATCGAGATGAGCATTACCTTGCTTAAGTTCATCATAAGCTCGACACATTTTCACTATGGGGTTATAGAAAGAGATATTATTTTTTATATACATTAAGACGAAAAATTCTCGGCACCCGGAGACGTACTTAGGTTTGGTTTAGACGTTTACGTATTAAAATTAATTTGGCTTAAAAGATCGGGACAATCCACCATGGAATGTATAATTTTATGTAAGTAAATGAGTTCATTAAAATCTCATCTTTTTTAAAAACAAGTCTTAAAGGGGGTATAAATAGGGGATGAAAGTTTGTATGGAGAACCAATTGTTTCTTAAGTAAGTAGTACAGTAGGCTACTCCAAGTACTTATTCTACGTAGGCGAAGTCACGGACAACAGTAGGGTTAGCATGATAAAGCGCGAGATACTGCTATTCTCGCATAGAGTATCTCGTGCTTTATGTCGCTCTCAAGTACTACTGCTAGTGCAAAGTTGTTATTTGACGCAAGTGTTTGTATTGAAAACTGAGGAAGCGAAAGATGCTAAGATTCAAAAATAGAATGCTGAGCGTATGTAGCGAGGGTTTCAAGGTACGAGACGCAAAATAACTTTGCTGCCTTTTTTTAACACACACTCATGGCCCCGCACTAGAGAAACCCTGTATCGCGGGTGCCATGGACACAGATATAGACAACCACAAATTACATCCAAACTCAAGAGAGAAATACCTGTGGGCCATACAAGTATTTTTCCCGGCTCGGGAATCGAACCCGGGACCTCTGCGAGGCAGTTCAGCATAAATAACCGTTCGGCCACGGGGCAATTCAGCTGCTGCTTTGGACGTGTTCTGTTTTCTACAATGAATCTCGACGTTGATAAATTTATATTTTCTATTGAAAATCGACCAAATTTATCTTCATATTTTCTTAAATCTTTGTAGTGAAGTTGAAATGATCCATTTATCGATCTGGTTCGTAAAAAGGGATATATCCAATATCTTCGGTGTTTTTTTATTTGAGTAAACAAAAACCAAATAGACAGTATAACTGCAGCGTGAATGAGTTCTGTATTATTAATTCTTGTCAAAGAGGGATCTCGGCTACATATACAATCACTACGGCTATCAACTGCGAAGCGAGTACTTTAAGTGACTTGGGCCCTCTAAACCGCTGCCCCCGCGCAGATTAAACCACGCGTTGACGCAGGTCTGCGTCTCCGCCACCGCGCGCTTGATTCCGCGTCTCGCGCTCCGTCGCGGCGCGCGGTGCAGTGTGTTAATCGCCTTAATAGTGTTAGCGAAACACATCACTTTTCACCTCACTCATTTTCACCTCACTCACAGCGAGAAAAATGATAGATGAAAGAAAAACAGTTGAACTATAATAAATAAAATTAGTTATCGTTGTCAATTTAATGTCAAAAATAATAAGAATAAAATATACCAATGGATTTATATTATATAAATAATGTACCACAAATCGCGTACTTTAACGTGTCATTATGCTTTTTTTTCATCGAAAGGTGCACCTCAGTACTTCGTCAAATTCCAATTTTAAAAACGCTTTTGCGCGCAGATTTCTAATGAGAAAGAAAGCCTTTCCAAGCTAGTGAGGTGAAAAATGAAATGTTATAATATAAAGTATAATAAGTATAATTAGATAAGTAGTGGAACTGCCGTATGTCCCGTAAACAACTGGTGCCAAGGCGCGCTAAAGGCCGCGTCAGCGGCTTGATGCGACAAGATACACGATCGCATGAAGACAATTCCGCGTTAATATTCGTAATTTTGGTGATCCCCTGAACCCTCATGAATTAAAAAGTGTGTTATTTTGAATAAGTCCAAAATTATTCAAAATTTGTTTAATGGCTTTCGAAACTTTTGAATTTACCTTTTCTTTTAAAATGTACGATGATGACAGTTTGAGATATTATAATTAACAAGACGACGGCGCCTACGCTTCCTCCAATCACGTAGATCACATTTTTATTGGTCTCTTCCTCATCTTTGTTTGATGGCGCTGAAAAAGGAAATAAAATAAAATAAATTATTTACAAATGAACAATCACCATCTTTTTCTTTTTTTTATGATACTAAGTGACGAGACGAGGTCATGCGCCTGGTGGTAAGAGATACGCCTGTCCATAACAGTTCCAGTGCCAGTCAGAGTTTTAAACCATAAAGATCTGAGGGGCACTGCCACTGCGCCCGTCAAATGCCTGTAATTTCACCAGCACCCTTACCCTTCGAAACCGGAAGACAGTAACGTTCTTCGTAACCGCTTGGCGTCAAAAATAGGTAAGATATATACTCGTACAGATAAGGCTTTCCGTATCCGGTTCCAATATGGCTACGTTTGTGGCTTTTTAAACTAGGAATATGTGTATTGATAAGAACAAAAAGTATTAAGATCCTTTTCGAATATGATCCTGCGCTCTAGTTCTCCGTCCAACCTACCTCCAAAATAATTACTGTCAAATAAGTAACACTCGACCAAATTAAAAAACGCATGCACGCCAGCTGGTTACTGCAGCAGCATATCTGTATTATACAGATAATAAATAATCCTACATAACTGTATTATACAGTTTGACTGCAGGAACTAAACAAGTCTCAATTGAACATGATTGATTGAGTTTTTAGGGTCAACAAACATACCCGTGACTGTAACTTGTGCAGTGGAACACTGAAGTTCAGAAAAGGCAGAGTCATTTTGATGGATTTTAAAGTCTCCTGTACAATTCCATGTTCCATGCATTGATTTCGTTATGTTCTGTAAAAAAAAGTTATTTTAAATTCGGACAGATAACAGTTTTAAGCACTTGTGCATTTTTCTTTTTGTGGTGAACCATTAAGAGTAGCAACGACAATCGGAGCTTTAAATCTCAAAACTCAGAAGGGCACTGCCATTGCGACTGTCGCTCTGAGTGTAAACTGTGTGTGTGGGTACGTACTAATGGCTTCATCTGATTCTTCTTCCGTTAATATATTTAATATTTTTTTTATAACGTCAAGTGACGGGACGAACAAGTCGTGCACCTGATGGTAAGCGACACGCCTGTCCATAACAGTAACAGTGCTACTCAGAGCTTTAAATTGCAAAGATCTGTAGGGCGCTACCACTGCGCCCGTCACCCTGAGACATAAATTGACAAGTCCCATGTGCTGTAATTTCACCAGCAAAAGACCCTACCAAACCTGAACACAGTAATGCTGACATTAGTGCTTGGTGGCAGAAATAGGTAAGGTGGCAGTACTTCCCTGGGCGAACTCTTTCACAAGGAGCTCTACTGCTACTAAATAATTATATATTATTTTAAATAATTATAATAATTTACGCGACACGTTACTTCAGTCGCGCGTCTATCGCTAAACAAATTGAACAGCTCTGAAATGCCGCTAACCACAACCACAGCGCGAGCTAAATTAATAATGGACATTGTTAGTGGAAATAGATCGGCGAGATTTCAATTCTCGTCTCTTCTTATCTCGCCAGTGGAAAACCATCTTAAGACGCGGCGCGCGCTGGCTGGAGGGCACGGCAGGGGATTTGTAGGCGACGAATAATAAACTTTACTTTTATAACATTATAATTGAAATTTTTGGCCGGTGAACCATAGCTCGATGGTCAGCCACTGACAAGTCTCTACTCCTAACTTTTAGCAGAATACCAAACGTATAAAGTCCAGAGAGTGTCAAAACACTCTATGGACACACAACTGAGATGATTTAAAATTAGTAGACTTGAAGTCCTGAATAGAGGGGAGGGAAGTACGCTGTCGCAACGCTACGTTCGGTATGCCATACCGTTACACA